ACACGCTGACCGGCCAAAGGTCTTGTGTCTTCCGTGCTGTAGAGTCTGGAAGGAACGGGAATCATAGGGTACCCCCAGTCGGCTTCGGACTGAGTGAATGCCTTGTATCCTCCGTTTGACTCGTACGTGCCAGTCACAAAGGTTCTGTACATATCGACGTACATAAGAAGGACCTTGCTGAGGTAGAGACTGTCTCCATCTGTGATGGCAAACAGAGGACAGGGAACAAGCGTGGAGTTGCCGCAAGTGGATGGCCCATCACCAGCACCGTAGATAATGTTGGATCCGAGACCTTCCAGATAGCTGATGACCGAATCATCGAGGCCTTCAGAGCTGCTAGCACTGACAAGAACATTGCTTAGAAAGCCCTGAACGAAGACATCATCCTTTCCGAAAGAGTCATCGATGACTTGTTTCAGCTCATCTCCGGTGGTTGTGGCGGAAAGGGCGGAGATGTATGTGAGTGGTCCTTGAGAGGGGTCCAGGACACAGGAGACGGTGAATATGGGATCCGAAGTCACAGCCAAATACTGAGTGCCCTCAATGAGAAAGGACTGGTCTTGAGTGTTTGACACAAAGGTGGATTGGAAAAGAGTGCCATTCAGGGGCGTAAGCGCTTTTGCTACCTTGAGGTAGAGTGCCATAAGGCAGAACACGAGGAGAAAAGCAGGGAGCTTCATGATTTTCTGAATGTCTTGGTTTGATGATCTGAGATTCGATGCTCGGAGGAGTGAATTTGCCATGTCTTTATAATAATAATACCCGACTACTTACTGACGACCTCCCCGACTCAATCTTTGCGGAGCTTGCTGTGCCATCTGATAAATTGCTGCCTGTGACATCTTGGAATGCTCCATAACAACGATGAAAATGCCTCACAATTATGAAGGATCCAAAGCCTGGTACTACCAAAGTTGAACAAAGACAGTGTGGTGCGTATAGCTTAAACACGAGTTTGGTAAACACGCGCCGAGATCAGTATACCCCGCCTACCAGCCCCTGGATGAGTTGAGGGAATTACTTCCACAACGGACTTCTCCGCCATGTCAGGACTGTTCCACAACAGTCGTTGTGATACCTTGGAGTAGAGAATTCCACTGAGAGAACTCTTGGTTGTACGTTGTTGCCTTTGTGAGCTGCCGACTCAAGGCATCATAGATGTAGTAGCTCAAGTACCACAAGGCATTGCTACTTTGGAAGATGACGTGTCGAAGATGAGTAGCATGAGTCTCATACCTCCTTCTCAATAATGCTAATCCAGGGCGGTAGGTGCAATCATGCTGCCCGTCTTGGCCAGCTCAGATGACTCGCACTAATGTTTGGACCCTGCATGAAACACCAAGATGGATTGAGCTTCGTGCAGAACGAACTACGTGGAGTGTCCCCTAATCCCAGAAGTTAATGGCAATCTTTTTGATGAACCCTTGAGTTAATCTGTCAAGGTTAATTAAGTACGATGGCAGGCTCGCTCTTGGCCCATAAGTACGTAAAAGGACCACGTGCATGCGAAAATTATAACGGAGTTGCGCCGAGCTGTCAAGATAACCATGTCTAGTGGAGACGTCGGGAGGGGCCGCCAGGGACCGCTGCAGGTTGGGCGGCTATCATTATGATATATCCACCTTTGACGCTTACGTGAGAAGTTGTAAGAACGCCTTGAACTTTATTGGATAGCGGAAGATCTTTGATCTGATCAGATTCAACCGCGGAGATGCTCTATTTTCCGGTGCCAAGAGAGGGAGAGCGGGAGACGGCATCTTGCCGGGTGTCACCTACTCAAATACACTTTCTTGCCAGGTCGCGATTACGTGCTCCGTCAAGCGATTCTTGAGGTTGAACAAAGACTACCAATGGTACAAGTGATAGAGTTTATTCAGGCGGAGAGCGCGTCAAAAAACTTCTTGTATAGAAATTTGCCTTGCCTAAGGTTAGTTGTCCTCGGTGGGAAACTGGTCTCGGTGAGTGTGTTCGGTGAAATCTGGGCGGAGTGGGGCCGGATCGGCTCAAGAGGGCCGGACATGCGTTGATTCGGACCCGATGCAAGTTGCCTGTTCGGAGCATTGCTTCTTCGATGAGCCGCATTTGAGTAGTCCGTCCTAGTTGCTTCGCGGAAAACCGGGGGACTATTCAAGGAATTCCGGCGGACTCAGATTGGACTAGCCGCATCACTACATGTACTAATCGCGTCAGCACTTCATCGCTATGTGCTTAGCAATCAGTCATCCGTTTTCTAAGGTACTGTATAACGTTACCACCTAGCGATATCCATAGAAGGGTGGCCCATTGACTAATCCATCTTTTGACGGCCATGTCGCTGCGAATTGAATCATTCGCAGCTAATTGCGAATCAACTGGAACGATTGACTTCCTGGGTGCATGAACTCTTCCGCTGCATTGTGGTCCATGCTGAGAGGCGCAAGTCTTCACTGTGACTTGCGAGGATATATCAAACTGAATCCTACACCGACATAAAGAATGTACAGCAACGGACGAAAACCGCCTCCCTGGGCAATGCGCCACACCAGAGCACATGATAGTGACCCAATAACGATTTCCACTGTAGTCCGATCCCCTCAACTATTACAAATAAGTATTTCCGTTGGCCACGAGTTACGCCGTCTTTATGAACTTATCCCACCGGTTCGCCGCTAAATATATTCCGCCCTTACCACCGTACCACCCGATCTGCGTTCTGGACCCAGGGTCGCACGCGAGACGATCAAGTCCGGAGGCAAGGCGGTTAAGGAATATCAGGATTCAAAGAAGACAACTACAAATAAATAGCACATCAGGCAGGATCTAAAGATGACGAGACGGAGAGCATCAAATACCAACCAGGCAATCAACATGGGACCCAAAACTGTTTTTATCACCGGTGCAAATGGCTACATTGGCAATGCCGTAGCCCGCTGCTTTGTGGCTGCCGGATGGACCACCTATGGTCTTGTTAGGTCTCTTTCGGCAGCGACAACCTTAGCTCAGGAGGAGATCATTCCTATCATTGGAGCCATCGATGACCTCGACGCGCACGCCAACATCCAAAGTCACCTCCCAGCAAAGCTCGATGCCATTGTCTCAACCACGGAGAACACAATGGACTACATCCCGCACTATCAGAACACCATCAAGTTGCTCCGTACCCTCGGAGTCGCAAGTTTGTCGGCCGGCACAAAGTCAATAGTCATCTTCACTTCCGGATGCAAGGACTACGGCATCGGCCCGCACTTCGACGGAGCCCCGGATCTGGCCCCCCACACGGAGGAGTCAACCATCGGGACAATCCCCTTGCTCGCCAACCGAGCCACGTACGCACAGAAAATTGTTGACCACGGCGACGTTTTCACTCCGGTCCTCGTTCGACCTACCAACGTCTACGGGCGTGCCTCTAGCTACTATCAAGCCTTCTTCAACGTCGCTTCCAGGGCAGCCGCTAAGGGAAAATCGCTCGTCTTGACCGCTCCTCCCAGCACAATCTTGCATGCTCTTCATGTCGATGACTGCGGAGACGCCTATGTTGCCATCGCCTCTCACCCAAATGTAGCCGAGACTGACGGCCAAGCGTTCAACATCTCGGCCCAGAGCTACGAGACGCTTGACAAGGTTGCGCAGGCACTGGTTAAGGAGTACCAAATTAAGGATGGACTCAAGTACATTGATGAGGCGGATGCGAAAGAAGGAGAGATGTGGCCGCCGGGAATCATCAACTTTCCCCAATGGACAGACTCCACAAAGTTGACTAAGCTGACTGGGTGGAAGCATCGTCGTCCCTTGTTCACCGAGTCTATCCATGTCTATCGCCTGGCATATGAGGCTACCAAGGCGGCCGGGCACGAGAATATCAAGAAAGTCGATGGCCTGTTGGAGGCTTGGACCAAGAACAAAGCAATTATAGACTTGAGTTCCAAAAAGATGGGCTGAGGAGGGAATACAAACCCGAGAACAACCTCATGTTGTCCTTCTTGGCTGCAAAGATACAGTTTACACTTTTCTAGGTCAAATTATTAGCCGCGAGCTAATGGATCTTGAATCCTATCCGAGAAGTCAGATATTTGAATGAGAATCTTTCATCCAACTTCTTTGATAGTCCCAAACCTTGTGAAAATATTATCGGGCTCGAATCATTAATTCCAGTCAAGATGCACCTTATATTCCCAAATAGAAATGGGCGGTGTGATCGCGACGGAGAACGTAGGGCAATTGTAAGAACAACCATACCAGGTGAATCTGTCAGCTGTCTGACGATCTTGGTTTGAACGAACCCCAGATCATAGCGACTGGACTTCCAGACTAACCCAATCTATGCTCAGGAGCCACGATTGCTAACTAAAAATCAATGTCTAGACTGAATCCACTCGTCGCAAGTGCATTAAAGATTAGTGCAGTCATTCCAAACACTGTAATAACTCCGAATGGACCTCCAGCATCCAGTCATAACGGACTGTTGTTGAGCCTACGGACTTAGCTTGCAACAACTTGTATGTTTCGCACTCTCCGCTTGAAAACGTAATTGGTAAGCAATCTCTAGGCTCGGGTGGTGGAGCAGTTTGGGATCTACCATTCACGAGAAGAAAAGAGAAGACGGCTTTTCTCCCTCACCTATTTGCGTAAACGGTCTATGCGGGGCGACTCTCCACATGTTTGTTTGTACTTCAGGACGGATACTCATGTTCCGGGGGAATTGCCTCCACTCTCTCTCTTCATTATCAAAAAATCAGAAGGTGTTCATCGCACAAAGTCGCGAGTTGAGATGAAATAAGATGCGGTATAGGTAGATAGGTCTGACGATATGCGCAAAAACATGAACTCAACGTCACGGTTTGACTGAATGCAGAAGAAGCTCCACCCCCTTAACCACGCTTCTCGTCTGGAGGGCGCGGCTTGCGGATCTCACTACATCCTAGCAATAACGTAATGCGTTCATCAGCAATCCCAGACTTGAAGACCTGCAAAGCCGCACCATCACGAATCGCTGTCGGTAACATGGCATGAGGGCAATATTCCAGTCGACTCCCGAAGATCGTCAATCGTGTCAGAGGCAGTAACAAAATAAATTCGACATTCACACCCTTACTATACATGAAGAGGTTGAATACATTAGCCATAAGGACTTCTGTCAGTAATGTTTCGATGTATTGCTCCTTGCTCTTAATTGCCGCATTTCCTACTGTTGACAATCCGCTTGATGTCGCCGTCTATCATGACATGGAGGCTATGTGTTCTGTGGCAGACGACACCGACGGGTCTATGGGCTCACCTTGGAGATCGGATCGTACCGGAATCAGAATGCCTGATCCAGGCCATGGCGGAGTCGGGCAGCTTACAAAGCACGTGTCTCATAAGTCGCGACTCGTCACTGGTTCACATCACCCTTCCCCGTTGGGCCGGCCGTTGGAGACAATCCTCATGCGCTAGGGCTGAGGTCCGGACATTCTGCGGGAAAATCATGGTGCCCAGGGGTCTCCTCGTCAGCGAAAAGCATGGACATTGGTGTCGAGGAAACAAAGGCCGAGCGACGAAAAAATCCGAGTCTCAAGTTGCTTAACTAAGTCCGACAAGTCCAAGTTGACTTGGCAAGTCAGGGCAGGGGGGGGCTATTGCGATGGCGCAGGAGTTCTCAGAGGTGAGATGGCAGCTCTGTTGTATCCGTATACTCGTATTTGGATCATCAGCCCAAAGCCTCTCTTGGCTATGGACAAGCCGTCGCATCTCGGAGGTGAGGACGTAATGTCGACGCGGCTTCGTGGCTGCGACAGGCTACGGTACTGAGCGTGCGAAAGAGCAGAAGAAACTGATACGGCTTCAGCGTCGATCGTTCAAAGTGATCTACTTGGGGTCCCGTCGATGTTTTCAACTTTCGATAAGGGGGCCCGCGGGCATTTCAATACGGCCGAAGCGCGCGCGCTCATCGGAATAACGCCGACTAAAAGACTCTTCGTCTCATCTTGTCCTCGTTTCGTCCGGCGTTGTGACCTGACTAAGCGGCACATTGAGGCCTCTTGGCGCCCTGCCGACGCTTACTGCCGAACCACTGACCTGTCCTGGACGGTGAAGGATGTCAAAGGCCTGTCACTTACACACTGACAAGCCATGACAAGCCGTCGCAAAGTCCAGTAGTGGAGTAGACAACCTCGAGAACTCTTGGGGTTTCCGTCACAGAAAAGTCCGAAGGGGGGGTGGAAAAGGACTCTGTCAACGGTGAATGGGGTGACCTGAAGGTGAGATGAAACCTGGAAAGCTGCCGAATGGCGCCCCCTACCGGCTCCATGCGCCCACTCCGGCCCCACTGACATCTCAACTCGGAAACACAGACTTACGCCATCCCATGATCCTCGGTGGGGAGAACAGACGGCGACGATCCAATCGACATGATCTCCCGCTAGATCGTCACCCTCCCTGTGAGGCTCTGACTTCCCAAAGAGGTATCGTCTTATAGAGCCTCAAACCATCACGGAACATCATCAGACAGCTTGGCAGCACGAGCCTCAACAATGTCCAGCATCGCCAGTGAGCAAGAAAGTCTGGTTGCGCAGGTCAACGTCTTGGAGTGTCTTGAACCTTCGCATTCTGCCCCCCACCTCCACTATCTCTCGGCACTTCATCATCATTAGTAAAGCCCCCTAAAGCCCCGGACAAGAGCTTCTCGTGTCTTGGCTTCGCGGGTATTCCGATGGCAAATATGTACTACAGCCGGTGCTAATCTAATTCAAAATTTAGACTTACTCGAACTCTAAGTTCTGTCTCCATTTCCGTTCCTTCCTCTTTTTTTTTCAAGTTACTTTCAGTCAAAACTCCTCCTAGTGAGGTCTAGCCGTAATTTCTGTCGACACCGGCATTTCCAGTCATTTACGCATTTTAATCAGCAGAGGAAAATCACTGCTGAGCAGTGTTCGCTTCATTCATTTCAAGAATTTTACTTTCGATACTTTACTTTCACCACCCAGTATGAGAGTCACTTCAGCTTGGGCCCTTGTGGCAGCCGTCACGGTCACTGCGATGCCTCAACCAGTCTCCAAGAGAGATCCTTTTCCGGCGGACGGTACTGTTGTGGGAGGTGTTCCCCATCGCCCATTCAGAAGTGAGTCTTCAACAACCTTTCGTATTTCGGGTCGCGCACTCTAATCACAAAAGCACAGTCCGGAGACAAGCCGCCGCGCCAGCGACCCCTCAGGGCAATCAACTCATCCCGGTGGTGGTCGGAGGAGCGCAGGATACATTCGTCCCGAACTTGATCATGGCCCAGGTCGGCGACGTCGTTCAGTTCCAGTTCAGCAATGGCAACCATACCGTGACGCAGAGTGCCGAAGGCGCCGCATGCCAACCTCTTCAAGCTCAGGTTCCGACGGCTATTCACAGCGGCCATGTGCCCTTCAAGGACGGACAGGCTATGGTTGGAACGTTCAACATGCCGATTACGAGTGCCGACCCGATGTTCCTATACTGCGCCACGGGACCTCATTGTCAAGAGGGACAGGTCCTGGTCATCAACCCGTATGTTGCAAAGAGAGATTGAATATGTGAGTTTCTGCTAACGTCAGTGAACAGCACCAATGCGAACCAAGTCGTCCAATACTCAAAGTTGGCCGCTGCCGCTAAAGCGAATGTCGACGGAACCACAGTAAGCGGCGGTGCCGTTGGACAGATCCCCCTCGCAAATGCTGCGTTTGTCCCAGCACCAGCCCAGGGAGCTGGCGGCGGTGGTCCTCCGGGAGGTGGTGCTGGTGGTGCTCCGGCTGCAGCCCCGGCGGCTCCGGCTACACCGGCAAACCCGGCTCAGGATCCTGCGGCAGCACCTCCGGCCGAAGCGCCCGCTGCTCCTCCGGCAGAAGCTCCAGCAGCTCCCCCGGCCTAAATAGTGTCTGATTTGCGACCGAACTCAGGAAGTTTGGGCCCCGCGACAAGCAACCTTCACCAAATTGAGCAAGCGTAGACAATCTTGAGCAGCGCGCTTAAGAGAATTGGTGCGGGTGTGCAAAAGTCACGTTTTGTCAATGGAGAGAGGAGTAATCCATGTGTATGTAATAACAGTTTTGTACATGCTATTGCCGTCCGCGGCGAGGGGTTTGACGTTGATCGATGTTCTCACGAATGTACGGCGAACTCAGGACGGGCGCTGTATTCCGAGGTCGAGAAAATATAAATGCCATAAACGAATCAACGAAGCTAGAAGCTTGAGGGATTCCGTCATTTCAAAGTCGCCTTGAGGTTAACTTTCTGGTTACCGTGGCATGTACACGATGCCCAATTTACCTTCCTAGCGGAATATCCAGCCAAAAAGTCTTTTGCCAGAACCTTGGCCCAAAATCGGCCTTCGTATTCGTACTTCACTCAGGGTTCCACGACAACTTTCAATCCACTGACTCCCTTGAACAGCACATCCACAGCCTTGTTCAGCCCATCTAATCCACCATCAATCTTCTGAGATGGCAAACCGAGAATCTTGTTTGCAGCGATGGCCTGAGCAAAGTAGGTCTCAAACGACCACTTCAATAGATCGGCATTCTTCTCTTCTGCAAGTGGTGCCGACCAAGACCCGAAACTGACGGTGACTTCCTTGGGAACACTCTCCGGGTCAGTGGGAGGTAGCAACGCATACACCTTGCCTCCGCCCTGAGCAGCCAGAACTGCAGTGGTGATAGCAAATGTAGGCTTCAATGAGATTGAGTCCACCACATATTCGTAAGGCCCTTGAGCAACGAGTTCCTTGATGACGGCGTCTTGTGATTGAGTGTGGTCGACGATGTGAACGGCACCCAACTTTGCTACAAAGTCCTTATGCTGTGGGGATGTGGTGGTGACAGCATCGTATCCAGACTGAGACACATATTGTGTCGCAAAGCTGCCGAAGCTAGATGTGCCGCCATAAATCAAAATTTTCTTGCCCTTCGAGGGCAGCTTCTTAGCCGGATCGGGTCTGTCGAGGCCTAAGTGCTCGTTGAACAAGCCAACGACGGTACTGAAGTTGCCTAGGAGACCGACGGGAGTGTGAAGGTCGACGCTGCTTGGCACCTTGATCGCAGTGACATCTCGTGACACTACTTGCTTTTGAAAGGCGCTGTACTTGTTGCCGTTCGCACCTCCCGTCTTGACGGCAGCTACTTTGTCGCCGACCTTGAAGCCGGTGACTTCGGAGCCGACAGCCGCTACGGTACCTCCATAGGATGAGCCGTGGATGGCGGGGTACGGGATGGGGAAGATGGCGAGCTTTGCGATCTTGGCGTCAATGGGGTTGAGGGCGACTAGCTCGTTCTTAACCAGGATTTCGTGGGGGCCAGGCTGCTCAGTGGTTACATCTTGCACTGTGAGCGGGGCTTTGGGTTCAAGTTGGACCGCGGCGGGGTGTGACATCGTGAAAATCGGACGATTGTGGACGCTGGTGATTTTAGAAGTATGACCAATAGCAGTGCTGTGAATTACGGGAGCTTGTTGATTTGGTACGGTAGTTTGTGAGTACCGGCAATAAGATTTGATATGTTAACGAGATTGCTTCGCTCTGACTTGGCGAGATGTATGATGGTCTTAAGTATCTCTGCTTCGACTCGGATTTAGACCATCGGGGAGATTGATCGCGCACCTAAACGCTATTATTCCGAGCGATTGCTAAGCGCACACAGTAGCCGAACGCAATTGAAGGCGCCATCTGCGACATTCTTCACGATGAATGTTGATTGCTAAGCTTGAAAGGGTAAATCCCCACCACCGGGACACCCGGAGGTGGCGTAGCCTTTCGGTGTCACCAAAGCGGAAACAAATACCGAGTGTTGATTTAAATGCCGCCTACCTACTTACCAACTTATATGCATGATGAATAGATGGATTACGTGCTGCAGTAACATTTCGTGTTTGTCACACATGATTGAGTGCCTGTTGCCTCGCGCATAGACCCCGCATTGTGTGACAGCTTTGGGCTCTCATTTCGCATGAGACTGAGTTCGTCCTTACAGTCTAAGCTCAGCTCAAATGCACCATCAACTACCGATTCGACGAATGCTATTGAAACGATAGCGAATACTTCGGCCAAAATCACATCATCTCTAACTCAGGTTTCTAAGTGCGATATCATGAGATTGGTCTGAAAATCGGTCTGCGAGGCTAAACTCTATTCAAATTTATCACCCATTTGGTGACATGGACCAAGAGTTCTCGCACTCATTATGACCACTAAAAGGTGCAGACGTAAGCGGGTTGCTTGTGTGGAAACTTTGGAGCGCTTCCGGTGTCAGATCAGGTCGAACAAGTCAGGATTTGATGAGATCAATGCTTGGGATGAATATGACGGTGGAACGTGGTCACTGTTGTGACCTATGATCTTCATATTTGAATTGGTAGAGAAAGTTGATACTTGAGTCGAAAACAAAGCGAAACGGGATCACAACATAGAGCTATAATAATTTCCATCTGCAATTCCAAGAAAAAGTGCGAAGCCGACGTGAATAGGCAGAATCATACATCGTTGTCTCGTAGAAAGTCCTCGAGAGACGTGGCTCGAACATCCAGCTTGTCGTTGTCGACTTTCACCATATCCCTTGTGCCGTTATTCGTATAGAGTTCAATAGTAAAAGTACGACATATACTGGAGAAATTATCTCGGTGTAGCTGCCTTTCGAGCCTCAAATGCAAGAGTCTCAAGGTCTTCATCAGTCCCCCTGATTTTGAAGCTGACCTCTTTTCCTTTCACCCTTTCGTAAGCTGCTGCAAGCTCCATGACTGAATGTATACCGGAGACTGTGTTCCAGCATCCGCCCTCCTCGGCATCGTCTCTGGAGATAATCGCAGCGGTGAACTCGGCTGCGTCCCTTTCCGTGGTCCATGGCATTGGCTTATTTCCATCGCCCCAGAAGCTCATATACTGGTCTCTACCGTCCCAGTAGCCGTTGAGCTCGACAGCCCCAAAAGGGTGATCTGGGAACACCCAGAACACCTCAGCCAAGACGCCTGTGAAGATGTATATCGGCTTGATGGGTGAGCTGATCTCGGCAATCCGACGGAAGGCGATGAAAGAATCATAGCTCTCATGTATGCCTAATGGATCTCGACCCCAATCATTGTTCCACGTGGAGAGAACAAATCTGCGGATGTTGGCCCGCTCAGCGGCCCGGAGCAGGAGAAGCTGCCCATCGAATTGTAGCTCGGTCGGGAACACTCCATATGCACAGATGACTGCGTCAGCTCCTTTGCAGCCGTGATCGAGGGCCTCGATGTCATAGTGACTTCTGGTAATAACGAAGCCCTCCAACTTGGCGCGTCTGGCATCTGTGAGTTTCGCAGGATTTCGACCCAAACCGCGAACTTGATGCCCCCGAGCGTGGAGGGCGTCGACCAGCCTTTGGCCGATGTTGCCAGTTGCGTCGGTGACGAGAACAAGCATTTCCACGACAAGTTCGGTTTTCCTAGAAATTTTCACAATGCTGTTGTACAATGATTTAGAGTTTTACTTGGTAACCGTTGATTGACAGGATTTGGTTTGACGAATCCATCAACAATGATGGGGGGGATTCCAGTAGACCAGTCTTCCGCATCAGTGCGGGGTTTCACTGATAAACCGAGCTCATATCTTTTTCCAGGCAACTTCAAAAGGGAGTGGTGACCATTGCATGAAAAGATGGAGAATACGGGACCCTTTACGTTACTTCAGCATCGTGTTGGTGTTGGAGACTTGATGTTTGCATCACCCCCATGTCTACCGCCGGGCGGCAGACCTTTTGCAGCATCACGTCTCGGCAAGAGAGAGGCACATGTGGAAATAATACATACCCTAAATGTAGGCATCATTCTTAGAGCTTCGGAATACTTATAGGCAATCCTGAGAAAATCAAGCTTTACTCATTTGCAGTGTAAGAGAACGGGGCTAACTGGGGAGGATAGGATAACAGTGCTTCATAGGGTCTTCGTGGGCTCTTGAGGAATCTCCAAGGGCGGAATGAAGAGAAGATAGTGTAGCAAAGTATGGGCTACGAAGGTCGTTGTACAGTGCGTTGCGTGCAGAGGGCTTGAAAGCGTACTGAGTCCACTTACTAAGTCCACAAGGTGGACAATGCAACTTCTTGAGAGACAAAGTGGGGAGACATATCCTCAAGTTTCTGGGAAAGACCTTCATACGGTCAGTAAGTGTTGAATTCCATCATACTTTCAGCGTTTCATGAAATGTATCGATGAAAATGACATGATGAGTGATCCTCAGGTTTGGGTAGCAAATGTGTGGTGGCCCTCTGTTTATCAAGTCCAAGGGGAATGAATCACTGACCAGCTGGTTCAGCAACACCTGGAAAACTCGAGCAATTATGAAGCGGAATATTGGGGAAAACTCGATGGTTGGGTTAGCTAGCTAGGTACATTTAGGGGTCGAGGAGAACAGGATGATTCGGCCATTTGAGACCCGGGTCCCAATAACGCACTCAATACGCCAAGGTGCATTCCAAGCACTAGAGCCAGTGAGCTATGGGAAAAGTGAATTGAGACACCATCGACCGATTTTCTCCCCCTTGTATCGTCTCTTCAACCTCTCGGCATCCTAGTCTTTCGCACGAAAAGACTCGACGTTTCACTTCTGAAGATGTGAGTCTGCTCAAGACATTTCAGGCAGCATCCTGCGAGGCGATTCCAATAACATCTACCTTGGCAGACTGGTTGGATTACGACTATTGGTTCTTGGCTATGAGGTGTCACTCTGCAGATAGAGTGGCATCTGCAGGCTTCCACTTTTTCGACACTGCAAGGGAGCTGGAAAGCAAAACTTCTCCGAAAGTAGGAGGCCACCTAAACATTGGTTGGAAGAGCAGGTTGTCTAGAAACAACAATAAGACAGACGCGCTACATTTTGTGATTATGCAGCTCTGATACAAACAATGCAGTGGCAGTGGCGATTGCAACATCCAGGCAAAGAATGGCAACATCGAGGTTGATTGAATGATATGATAGAACATACTAGTACTATGCATACTTCAAATCTAATTAATGCAGCCTACTATGCACATCAGTCAGATTTAGATGAAGAACAAACATCATAGGAAACTCCCCTGCCCACGGACGTCGCCGCGGACGATCACTTCCTGTCCCAGCATATTGGCGAATAAGAAAGCCACGTGTGAAATCTTAAGCAACCGAGCCAAGGCAAACGTTTCTTTTCTCAAAGGAAATGAAGGGGATGGATCCGCCAAGCCCTACAAACCGGATCTGATCCGAGCCTATCTTTGCGATAAACTAGTTCCATGTCACAAAATTACGGTTGAAAGTTCGAGTAGCGGCGGAGACTGTTGAGTCAAAATG